GCTTCATGTGTTAAAGCTGCATTCTCTCTAGTGTCCACCAGGGGGCGACTCCTCTGGTTGTATAGAAGTCTATGAGAAAATGACTCTACTTCTCTCTTGATTTATTACCTCAGTAAACATTGTAAACATGAGTTTATGGTCTCAATCTCTAGTTTCAAGTCTTCTTCAATACAGCATGATGTTCATTTAGTACATTATGGTCCAATTAGAGTCAAACAGACCATAAAGCAGGGGATGCTTTAGGGCGGGGCTACACGGTGATTGACAGGTCTCTACCACGATGTTGTCCAGTCTGGGAGGTCTTCTTGTCTTCGTCTTTTAAACTTTAACCCTTTCACAGAGTGTTCTCACTTCATGGAAGTTAACTGACCCTTCGATCAGTTGACTTTGTGGTTGATTGTCTCTAGTTTCTGCACGTTTTCGGAGGAGGAGATACATACAGTATGTTTATAAAACGTTACGTCTCTATGTAGAAACCTGTGGAGCTAACGTTTGTTTACAGTGAAAACTCATCAGGAACCTTTAAGAAAACAAACATTGAAACAATTTAAAGATCTTTACAGGAAGGTTTTTGCATGTTGTAACAGTTTAAATATGTATCATCTAGATATTACTGACCATGCGTGTGTGTGTGTGTGTGTGTGTGTGTGTGTGTTCAGGAGCTGGAGTGTCTGCAGGATCACTTGGAGGACCTGGTCTCTGCCTGCAGGGAGGTCGTGGGCAACCTGACCGAGCTGGAGTCTGAGGTCATTAGCACTAAGCGACGTTGTGGAGATCAGGTGTGTTTCTTTGTCTCACCGGCACATGTTGAGCTTCCTGTTCCTCTCCGTTCACTGCAGGACGTCCAGATCGACGCTCTGCTCATCCGAGCCTGCGAGCCCGTCTCTCAGGCTTACTGCCACGTGAGTACATGCACCTTCATAGAGACGAAATAACAACAGAAGAGACAAACAGCTGGTCGTCTGATGCAGGAAATACAGCAGCAATGAATCCTAAAGCCTTTGTATTCTGGTAACAATACAATAATCATAGAAAGAGAAGAGAAACAGGAAATAACAAGAAACAACAAGAACTTTCATTCAAACGTTCCTGAATATAGAATCAAAAGATAAAAATAATAATGTTTTGTCTCGTTAATCTGTGTGTCTGTGTGTGTGTGTGTGTGTGTGTGTGTGTGTGTGTGTGTGTGTGTGCGCGTCTGTGTGTCTGTGTGTGTGTCTGTGTGTGTGTCTGTGTGTGTGTCTGTGTGTGTGCGTCTGTGTGTGCGTCTGTGTGCGTGCGTCTGTGTGTGTGTGTCTGTGTGTGTGTGTGCGTGTGTGTGTGTCTGTGCGTCTGTGTGCGTGTGTGTGTGTCTGTGCGTCTGTGTGTGTGTGTGCGTCTGTGTGTGTGCGTGCGTGTGTGTGTCTGTGCGTCTGTGTGTATGTGTGTGTGTGTGTCTGTGCGTGTGTGTGTGTGCGTGCGTGCGTCTGTGTGTGCGTCTGTGTCTGTG